GTCAGTAATTCATGTTCAGTATTGCGTTTCGAGTCTTTTAATGTGGAAGGCCTCTTTGTCGCTATATGCTAAAATAAACATTTTTAAAACTTTAACTGGGCCACTTCAGAACATTAATAATTTTACTACCTGTCAGAAAGTCAGGAGAAACACCTTAGCAAAATTAGCAACCTGACAATGTTCTGAAAAAGCAACCTAAACAAGTGCAACACATTAGTATTTGAACAAAGTGGTGAGACGTGCGGTCTGTGTGCCTCTCCAGGTGTGTGGAGACAAGGACTCTGACGGTTTCTACCATGGAGAGTCCGGTGGTCTCTCCGGCTACGTGCCAAGCAACATGGTGGCTGAAGTCCCAGTGGACGACGAGTACCTGAAGCACGTTCTCATGCAGCAGGGTTTCCTGCCTGTGGATCACGCAGGTACCAATGCTTCATTTTCTGCAAGAAGATCAGACTGTGACAGACAATAGAGAGAAAATGAGCCTAAATCAGAAAAAACTCATTTTGCACTCAAGTATCTTTAATGTTGTTGGCTGGAAAAATCTGATTAGAGCTAAACCCTCTTCCAGTTCCTCTGTGCTCATGTGCAAGGTTAGCTTAGAGCAGTTTGCTTTATGTAGGAAGTGGTTAAAAAAAAAAAAAAAAAAATAGCATTTTGTCTTTGTGGGTTTATAAGGCAAAGCTTAAGATTTAAATACAACTTCTCTACTTGTTTTTTTCCTTCTTCTTCTTCTTCTTCTTCTTCTTCTTCCTCTTCTTCTTCTTCTTCTTCTTCTTCTTCTTCTTCTTCTTCTTCTCCTTCTTCTTCTTCTTCTTCTTCTTCTTCTTCTTCTTCTTCTTCTTCTTCTTCTTCTTTATTTTACTCTTGTTTTAATTTCAAAATTTAATTTCAACATTTTCTGCAAAACAGGTATGTCTTTAACACCAGAGCTAAGCGATGCTGGCAGCATTCGTGAAGATGTGATTGTTAGAAGAATGGTGGCCTTATTCGACTACGATCCATGGGAAAACTCCCCCAACATGGACAGTGAAGTGAGCGCTTCAAAAGTCAAACTAACCACCGATTTCTCGATATTACCTATCTGTAAGGGGGTCTCCCACCCTAAAATGAATTTTCTTGGGTTTCAGGCTGAACTGGGCTTTCGATCCGGAGACATCATTTACGTGTTAGGTGACATGGATCAAGACGGTTTTTACTTTGTGAGCACAAACTCTGCTGTGACTCTATGACTGATTTCTAATTTAATGTTTGCATAGAAGTTCATTTTCTCTCTCTCTCTCTCTTTTTTTTTAAAGGGAGATCTTCACGGAAGACAAGGTTTGGTTCCCTCGAACTTCCTGCAGCCCTTACCCTGGAACTAGACGCCATGCTAACACCTCTGCTACTAATGCCAAGTCACAGACACAATCAAATCAGCAGCTTTTACTGAGAAAATGTAAATATGTGTCAAATATTTGTATATATTTTTATTTTATATAGTAGTGTTGCATTACTTTTGCTGTAGAAAGCCTTTAAAGTATGACAAATAGCCCAACACAACAATCAGGATGATGAACAATGAAGAGAAACAAGTTATAGGATAAGATTCTTTATTGATTATTTTAAAGAAAAACTGCAACTCACCTTATAGGGGGAAAAAAGACAATTTTTAAAACCATATTTTATTTAATCAAGAATATATTTTTTTGTAATCCAGCAAAACTATTTCCAGAGAATTTAACTTGATGGATGTCTGGCGACTTCTAGCCTTAAAAAAATACACTTTTAGTCACAGCATTGTGCAGACCAGAGTGTATGAATCTAGTTTGCCTTACATTGTGTTCATCTGCTTTCTATAACATGCTTACTCTCGGATGCAAGAGGTAATAAATAACATATTAAAACATTCACGTAAAATATAAAAGCTCAGAAAACCCGAGTTAAAGCAACAACTGCAACATCATGCTTCCATCTACAGATCAGAGTTAATCATTTTCTCAATAAATGTTACCAATATTAACATCAATCTGTTGGTTAATTGAACATTGTACAAAGTGTACAAAAGTTCAAATCAAACGTATGAACTTCGAGATCATCCGGCTTGGTTCTTCTTTCACTCTCCTCTGCAGCTAACAGTATACTCATCCATAAAGTAGGAAACACTACACTGTATAGTGAAGTTTAGTAGTGCTTTCTACTTTATGGGTGACAACACTGTATGTCAGTATCTTCTGGGTGCTCCCGCTCAAACTCCGAAGACCGACGGTGAAGGTGAAGGCTGGTTTCCACAAACTTCTAACTCAACATCATTCAATTTAAACAAAAAAACTACTGCAGCTTAGTGTATAATCAAGTTGATAATGAAGCATTTTAATGTAAAAAGAGACAAAGCGGTAAAAAACAAGTTTCTTGATGATTAGATAAACCCACTTGTCAAGATCTTACCAACGTTTCGACTCCTGAAGAAGAGAGGAAACCCAGAAGTGAGCGCGATCTTTTTATTAACCCTGTCTGAGCCACG